CTTTCATTGTATATAAGCACTCTTCAAAATATCTCTATATATATTTTTAGGAAAATATGGCCATATATTCATAAAAAAATATAGATAAAATTGTACAATATTGTATATTATAATTATCAACTTAATTAATAATAAAAATTGGACATAATTTTTATAAGTTTTATCGATTATATTATTTTTTATTTATATCATATTTTTATTTAAATGTACATCTATAGATTATGATTTATTATATTATGTATTTATTTATATTTGTATGTGTATATTAAAAGTACACCTATGGAATCTAAATTTTTGTTAAAACGGTATTACAGACATCATCATCGTCATTATAATAATTTTTTGCAGCGGAATATATATTTTTATATCGTTACAGCTTAATACCGAATTAAAATATATTAAATTTTTGTAGCCCACAATATTATTTCTATATCTTTCAGATATCAGTAGTAAAAAAATTAATGAAACAACATCTAATTCAAATACTTTTTAAAGAGTGACTAGACTTTGATTATTATCAATCCTTCGCGTCGAGCTTATATTATAAATCTTTATGGAATGTTATTATATGGTCAAGATGCGCTCGGCTTGTCATGTGATATCAATATCTCGCCTTTTGCCTGGAGAAGATCCATTAGGTCCAGTCGTTCATCAGTAGGAAGTCGTCGACTGTGACACACGACGATCGCGCGATATCCGCGAGTATAATATGTGCGATGATCAAGAATAATATCAGCGACGACTTCTGCTTGGAGACAGTGGAGGACTTACACCAAAGAGATGTACCATAATGCAAAATAATCCAGCTTGTTCTCGTACAGTGCTTGGAGAGAGACAGAGAGAGAGAGAGAGAAATAAACAAAAAAAAAAAAAGGTATATTATCTGATTATGAACAAACTTAGTAAAATTGAAAGGAATTGAATGAGCCACTTAGAACTCCAGTCAATTCTTGATTTCTTGAAGTGATATATAGCATTAATGATAATAAATTATAAAATAACAATTATTTTAACGCCATTCATCGATGCCGAAAGTATATAGACTAAAATACTTAATAATGGTATTTAGATTCTGTCTCTCTTTCTCTCTCTCTCTCTCTCTCTCTCTCTCTCTATCTCTCTCTCTCTCTCTCTCTCTATTGTGCACATATTTATATACAGTACAAAGGAATAAAGTAGGGATGAAAATTGAAGTAAAATATTAATTCTGTCCGTACATCTATATTCAAACTTCATATACATTTGCTGCTTAATTTTTAGATAAAGTTATAGAAAAATAAAATAAATATAACATGTATTTATAAATGAAAACATTCATCGTTATTATATAATATAATATTTACTTAATTTCAAATCTTTCTTCAATAAATGTTAATTAAGAATCGCTTTAATTATATGAGAATATAATATTTGCCGTTTATATTAATTAAATTCAAGTTTATTTCAATAATATATGCATTTATGTAACCAAAATAATCTGTAGAAAATGAAAATCCACTAGCAGTGCTATTTCAAATGCTGTCAACGGTAACGTTCGAGTTAGAAAATGAAAGGAAATGAATAATTCAATCTTTCAGCAATTTAATAATTCACCTCTGGAAGTACGAGTTAGATCATCAAATGTAATATGAGAAAATATTAAACATATATTTTTAATTGATAAGATAATATTAAAAAGTATAATGACGCATTGTTGCCAAACTTATATATATATATATATATATATATATATAAAGCCAAAAAGTCCCTTTAGAGATAATTTTTGGACGTTTTAATAATTTTTTTTTTTTTTTTTTTTTTTTTTTTATAAAAATAGCCATTGACCGAAAAATCCTTTAATCTATATTTATTCAAGTTTTTTTTTTAAAAGTTACATTACACTAAAACCATTTTACTGGTTTGTCTTAAAATAAAGACAATTTACAGAAAACGTTATATTTTTAGTATTATTATTAATAGTTCTAATACCAATTTTAAAAGTTGTTGTTTCAATTCTTAAGTCCTGAATGTAATCAGTACGATAGGTACATAATTTCTATGGTTCTTGCTTTACTTTCATTTTGATTTAAAATTAATTAAATATTTTATTTTGTATCAGAAAAACATTTTATGCATGTGGTATGTAAAATAATAGATAAACTAATTATATAAAGCATATGTAGTTCAGTACATATAATTATTAATATCGGTTTAGGAAAAATCCATTTAATTTGAGATACTGATGCTGCAGTTGTATTAGCCTAATAAAAAAATTTGCATTTAATTGTAAAAAAGACATATTTAATATTTAAACATTATTCATATTAAATAAATTATTTTCGCGTGCATTTTATATGTATATATATATATATATATATATATATATATATATATATGCACATACATGCGTACTGTTAATACGTAAAAAATAAAGAAATTGAGAAATACAATAAAATATGTTAATCAGTATTGCTTTTACTATTATTATTTATTACTAATGTATAAGGTTTTCTATTATACGTTTTGGGATTCTTAGAAATTTATATCCTTTGATATATTAAATTTTACGCTTTGATTAATTTAGCCAACAACAAATTATGGATGATGATTTTATAGATTTTTGAAAAAGAAAAATTACGGTAGGAATTTTTACATGAAAAAGTGCATTATTGTTTAGTATTATTAAATTATTATTAAAATTAAAATTTATATCAATTTATATCTTAAGAGTTCAATTCATAATTATTAACTAATAATTTACAAGAAAGGAAGAATTAAATGACGAGAATAGCAATGCATGCATTGATATTACGCAAATTTAAATCACAAATGTATTTGTTAACTAAAAATGAATGTCGTATATTTTGAAATAAATAATAAATTAAACTATGTACTTTTTTTATCTAAATTTTGTAACAATTTTGTAAAATACTGCCAATTCTATAGTATTAAAATGAACATAATCATGTCATTATAAAAGTATTAAATTTTTTGATAGAATTAGGTAGATTGACATTCTACAGTGAATTAAAAAATATACAAATAAAAATACAAATAATTAACATTAAAATCTTATTAAAATAGTAATATATTTTGCAAATTCACTGACATAATTAGAAGGGTGCATGACCTTGTATCTTTTATTGTTAAATTACTTATAGATTTTTCTTAATACCTGAAAAATCAATGTTGCTCGTTCTGCTGCATAATAAAGACTATTAATTGCTTGCTTGTAGATAAAAAGAAATCGATATATCAACTTAGCTAATCGGTTTCAATGAATTAAATATTATTACATAAATATACATAATTATAACGATGATCGCACGCGCTCACGCACACACACACACACACACACACACACACAAACAAACAAACAAACAAACAAACAAAACTTTCATAGATACATCATTTTGATTACGTAGGTAAATTCGACAAAGACAAACGATTCGGTTAAATTAAAAAGTATAATTTTAAATAATGCCATGAACAGTTAGTAGTTTCAAAGTAATAAATGATTAACGCAAGAAATTAAATGATATAACCTGTATGTTGACGAAAATTTGTTTTATTTTATTTACATTTAAAATAATAGTCATATATTCAATAAATAAAAGTCAACTTGCTTGTGCATTATAAATTTAAAAACACTGATAGGATATTAAATACTTTATATTAATGTCCTAATCCAATTACTTCAATTACAATTTATCAATTTCACATTTTTTTCAAATTTTAACAATATAATTTATCTTGTAAATACCATTAAAAAATAGTATTTATATACACGTTATCTTAACTATCATTTCTTAATCTTAATTTCCATTATTATACTAAAATCTTACGCGTGTATGGAGTAATTCAATCAAACATTGTTAAACTTCTTTCATAAAATTAATTTATTTGAAAGAATTTCCTTATATATACGTATATATATATATATATATATATATATATATTATTATAGTAACATAATTTTACAGTTGTTATAATTGACGTATAATTGTTCAGACGAGGAACTATATTTGATACAGAAATGATTAATTAATCGGTTAATTTTTAGTATTGGACCAGTTATTGAGCATTTGGAACCTAATTAATTGAAAATTACATTGATACTTGAGGTACAAAATTACGTTTGTGCATTTTTCTTTTTCAATTCGTATATAAGAAATTTTTAATTAAATAACAAATAAAACTTATGTAATGAATAAATATAGAAAAGTTAAAGACAATGCTAGCAACGTGATTTATTCCAACAAAATGATCATTTCACAGCGAAGAAATTTGATCAGAAGACAAATTTGATCGCATATTATGTCGAACGCTTATCCATTCATTTATAATATTTAATTTAACGAAAATCTTTTACATGTAAATCTTTCGCTGACACATTACGATATGGTAAACCTAGTATTAGTATTTTTTTTTTTTTTTTTTTTTTTTTTTTTTAATATATATCTTTAAATGAAATACTTAATAATGATCAATCGAATTATTTACTCGTACATTAATGAAAATGAAAGAAAAATTACTAGTTTTCAGAAAAGAAATCGCGTGCTCTATGTTAAATAGATAAATTAAAATATTAAATATACAAATTATTTAAAAAAAAAAAAAAAAAAAAAAAAAAAAAAAAGATAAGTACCGTATGTTGTAAAGTAGTGCAATGATTGTATAAATAAATATAGTGAAATTGTTATGTCAAATTTTTTGCATTATTTTGAGTTAGGTAGCAAAATTTCAGAACGCATAATTCATATATTAACGTATGTATATTTTTATTCTTAATTTTATATCATTACGTTTCTATACTAATCTATATTAATATGTAAAAACTTTTAGTTGATGATTTTAAATCTAGAAAGTTACAAGCATTCTGATTTGTTTAACGATAAATTAATATAATAATTTTTCCTAGAATTATCACACGCTAGAGGTATATCCATTGCATTGAGAAAATAAGGAAAAATTATTTTTCTATCACAGTAAATGTAAATAAAGTATTATTCCACCAAAGTAATTAATTTGTCGATAGATGGTATAATTTATGACTGAGTAATTATAATTTTTCAATATGAAATTATAATGCGATGGAATATGACATATTGGTGAAAATATAGAGTATATACACAAATTGTAGCAAACGAATTTCTTCAATCAAATTCTGGAATGTCATCAAAGGAATAACCTGGGATCTTGCGATAGGCTTGCACGGCCACTCTCACATGGTAAGCACCCGGTATAAACATTAAAATTCCTAAGATTATTATTGGCCACATGCGATCAGAATACTGCAATAAATCAGAAAACATTGTTTTATAGAAAATATTGTTTAAAAACCATATTATATCAGCAATTATATAAAGTAATATTATATAAGGCGATGGTGTAGTTGATTTTTGTTTTGTTTTTACTACTTTTCATTCCGATCTTTAATCTTTTTGATAAATAATATACGTTATAATTAAATAAAATACCATTTAAGTACAATGAATAATAGAATTTTCCTGTGATTATAAATTATTGCAAACAGTGCAGTGATTTCGTATTAAAATAAGTATTAATAAAATTAAATAAATTTTATTTGTTGTTCTAATTGAAGCAACGTAGTCGACTATTATGTAATAGTATAATAGTTCTTAGAAAATATCTAGCAGTCTGTTGATATATCGTAATTGATAAATTATTGCAATAGATAAACAGCGTTCCTTCGAGCTTAATTATTCAGAAGCCATATTCAATTTTTATTACAGACTTAATTATCAAATATCCGCTTGTTTGTTTATTCGTTCGTTCGTTTGTTTGTTTGTTTGTTTGTTTGTTCGTTCGTTCGTTCGATCGTTTTTTAAACAGCACATCTTACCTTAGTATCAATTTGACCACTCACTATTAAACTACCTATTACGAGCATTACAGTACCTCCAACAAACAATAATGTAGCTAGAGAGATTGCCTTCCATGGTATTTTTATGGGAGGTGTTGTAAACTGAGAAGAACGGTGAAATTAATTATCGTGTAGCATGAATGAAATTAGCGATGGATTATATGAGTTTGATGATGACTTACTTGTGAATCGACGAAACCATTGTCGGTTTCGGTGAGTTGAGTGTAATCCACGTTGTCGTATTGTCTTTCCCTCGCTCCCTTTCTCCTCGACATACTCAATTTATGAATGTAATCTGAAATGAAAATAATAACTTTCGTGACGAAATATCCTATTGTTTTGATTCGTATTGTAAACAATATAATGTCCACTGCGGTGGATAATTTGAGAAGTATTTTATTAATGAATTACTTTATTAATCAGGAAAATAATTTTGAATTATTTTAATATTGAAAATTTATAGAATTGCCGTAATTATAAGTGATGATATGATAAAAAAAAATTTGAAAAGTAAATTGAATTGAAATTTCAAATAATTATCAGCATAAGTTTATGCTTATAAGTCTTATGGATATTGTAAAATTTTTATACATTAATTCTTGAAAATATATAAAGTCAACTATTTTATTTCCATCAATAATATGATTTCATATAAAATAATATAATATATCATTAACCATCAATAAGATAATACGACGTCGATAGTATCATACTCATGTTATATTTATTTCCATTCAAAAGAAAAAGAAAAAGAAAGAAAAAATAAACCAATTTTATTATAAATTATACATTAGAATTATAGGAGCTTTAATTATAAATTATGTCAATTCAATGAATAAAGCTTATATACTCGTTAGAAAATTCTGCTATCAATGAATTTTTTTTTAAATAAGTTTTTCAAATTATTTTATTCTCGCGTACGTATTATTAAATAATTATTTAGTTTTCCTTCTAATACAATGCAACAGATAAACGAACAAAGCCTACCACAACGTTAGCTTTCGTCAACTAATTTATTTTGAGAAGAAAATATAAATTATTAATGATCTTGATTCTGCTTATGAATTTTTAATGACTGGACGATGTATTAATTTATGGGAAAAGTCCAAATTATTAGATAAAATGGCACATAATTAAAAGATAATGTGCAAAAGAAAAAAAAGGAACGTTAATTTCACGAATTCTTTATATGCCAGTAAAACTTTCCGTAATTTTTTCTTACGTACTATAAAAAGTAAGTTAAATTATTAAAAAATATATTGTATTTGCGCAATATAATTAATATATAATTTAACATAATTTGAAATAAGCAAGATTATTTAAGAAATTTTATGTTAATTAATTTATCAAATGTTTGGTCGACAGGCAAACATAACACATACATAAAGTAGAAAATAAAATTTTCATTAATGAAATATTAACAAAATCTAATATCCAATCTAAAATCCACGTTATTTTACACATTTTTAAAATAAATTGTCGTTTAATATAAACTTCTTTTAATTACATACGTTTATATATATATATATATATATTATGTGTACAATTATTTTAGTATAAGTATGTGATATATATTTGCAATAAAAGATAATATCAATTTACAATGTCAAATGACAATTAATTAAATTGTAATTTTTTACGGAATAAATTAGGAAAAAAAAATAAAATACCCGTAATGGCATATTTATTGTATGCAGAGGTATTAAGCACATCTTAAATAAAAATCAATGTTTTTCAACAGTATAGTATATATAACACTTTATGAACGTTGAGTAGCTATTTTCAAAAGAAATTTACATTGTTTTTCCATAATTTTCTATTTATTAGAATCGTTCTCTTTTTCATTGTTTAATTTTGAAAAAAAAAAAAAAAAAAAAAAAAAAAAAAAAAAAAAAAGGAATAGAAAAGAAAAGTAATGATAGTTTGCAATTACGATTATAAATATAAAATAATGGCAATCATAATATAATAGTCTTATCGTGATGCTAAAGCTAGAATTTCAATCAAATCGATAAAAGTTTGTTGCATCTTAGTTTACTAGTCAGCATTTAAATCTTCCCTCCAATATGAAATTTCTAAGTAAAAAAACTTACTTTCCATTAATTCGGTTTTACACCATATACCCTAGAGATTTTTAAACATTTTCTAAATTAAGTATGTTCTTCTATTAATGAATGTTTCATGAATTCATTTAAACTGTTTCCGACTTTTCCACGAAAGCTATAATGATAAATATTCTGTTTATATAGATAATATTTTTTCAGTATATGGTTATGAAGGAAGATATGGCAATTGGAATCAGAGTACTCGTATCAACATTCGCGTATCTAATGATTTTATTCGAAAGCGGGAAATTACGAATATATTTAAATGAAAATTCCATCCACCCGCGCTCTATAAATGTCATTATCGGCATGATTTATCAAGTGCATAATAATTAAAGTTTATAAGCCAAGATAAGGACATGTTTTGATTTAGATAAGCATCATAATTTTCTCTAGGCACTTTCTTACAGGTAAATGATAATTAAATCGCTCGCAATAACAACAACGACAATAATGATAATGATAATGATAATGATAATCATAATGATAATGATAATGATAATGATAATGATAATGATAATGATAATGATAATGATAATGATAATGATAATGATAGTGGTAATGGTAATAATAATGATAATGATAATAATGAGGAAGAGGAGGATGAAGAGCGACAACGACAATAATCCAATGCATAATAGTGGAGTACGTGATTTTTTAGTTTTTTAGTGGAATTGCCGAGGAGAGTAAGGAATATGCATTTGCATGGAAATGTAATAATTGCTGATTGACGTTGTCGTTCATAAACAAGCCCGTAAAGACTTTTAAGCCAAAGCCGACGAGATAGTAAGGTAGTAAGTAAGGGCAGCATTCGAGCCGGATTAAGTTCATTCTGATGATAGGGACGATGGTCAAGCCTAGCGATAAACAGAGTCCAGGCGAACGAAAAGCGAGAGAAGCTAAATGGAAATCGGGCGAGTACCAATTGAGCAAATGGATCGAAGGGATCGGGGATGGCGATGGCGATGGCGGCGCCGTGCATTGGAATGGCGAGCACCGTCCCCGTGCAGCGGCGACTCGCCTTGTACCTTGAGCTTAGCTTCGGCCGGCATTCGGCGGTGCTGCGGAGGCTCGGTTATGGTCGGGACCGTATTCTCGCGACTCAGGACGTACCGAGCTCCTCGCAAGCGCTATTATCGAGGCCGTCGTCGGCGGTGAGGCTCCCCTCGAGGCCGATCAGCATGTCCATCGGCCCTGGCGCGGCCTCCCCGTTTTCCTCGATCGATCCTCGGACTCTTGCCGCGGACACGGCTCTACTGCTGCTGCCTCGCGACTCCTCCTCCACACGACTCCACACCACTCGACCGACCGACTCTCCTACTCGACCGTAGAGCGACTGCGCGACAGCTGACGACGGGTCGGGCGGCGTTGCCGGATCGCGTGTGACGAGCCCGTGGGGCACGCACGTGCGCGGCCACGTGGATGGGGATTTCGACGGGGCGGCAATTTCGACTTGGGCGCTGCGTCACCGATCGCCCCTTCGTCTTCGAACCTCGTCGACTCGTGTCTGTCCAACGGGTGTGACGATCGAGTGCAGGAGTCCCGACTCAATCCGACACTTTGCGGTTGCCACTTGGGCTTATTGTTTAGCCGGATTTTTAAGGGCGCGCAGCGCGGCCGACGAGGGCGACACATGAAATTTCAATGACAAAGTAACAGCAGTGGAGATGGGTGTCGAACGCTCGAACGCGCCTCTTCCACAATCGGTACAATACACATTGTACATTGTACATTGTCGGACATGTGCCAAGGAAAACAAAACGCACCCCGCACGCACAGACCTATACGTGTTGATCTCATTGTTTTTATATTGACATTTCATATAAACGATTCAGTTCTCTTCCGTATTTAATCTTTACCTCGATAAATATATTTTTGATAAATTAATTTGACGGTGCTTTGGTATAAAACCCATTAACAACGTACCGTCTAATGGCCATAATAATAATGCCATAATATAATACAGTACTGATATATATTATAAATCATTGATTTTTAATTGATAATTATCATTCTATATAACCATTCTCGTTCACCTTTACGAATTATCATACAAAGTCATAAATTTTATAAATCAAGAAAATAATTATGTTAATTGGCTGAAATTTCACGTATCCGCGAACTTATTAAGCTGTTAATTTACCATTTAACTGCCTGTATGTTTGTCAGAAATAAAAATAAATCAAAGTAACTCGAGCATTACGTTGAATGCCGTAGTAAATTATAATAAGTCATTTGTTCGATTAAACAAAATCCCATAAATATACGATATTTTCAGCTGATTATCCAAAATATAGATAACATGGAGATCCTATAAGAGAATAATAGCGAATGAGAATAACATGTATTGTTATATATATATATATATATATATATATATATAAATTCTAGCCAGTGATTCAATTTTAATTATACGAGGATATTTTGATAGACCAATAGCCAATTCGTCAGAGTGGCGTTACCTATACTTGATTATTGTTACTACTAATAAGATTACATTTTGATTTGTGCATCTAATTCCTGAATTTCGTAATTCTGATAATATACGGATTAAATGAAACGACATTAATGAAACGCAGTACATTTAGGTAAAAAAAAAAAAATTTGAAAATACTATTTCTGTGAAATAACCAAATTTATTGATTTCGCTTGATTATTTTTTAAGACGAGTAATTGGCATTCAAATCAATTATAAGAATGAGAAATATTTCGTTGTCATGATTGAGGGAAAAAAGTCGAGATTTTACATTCCAAAAATGAAGTAATAACTCTTTTAAAAATCTCAATGATATAATGTCGTTAGTTAATTATAATAATAGATTCATTCATTGTTTCAACAAATTGCATATAATGACATGAAAATATTGCAACACAGTACATTTTTTGTTACAATAAACAAATAAAAAATGTATTATTCAATTATTTTAATATTCTTTGAGGAAAATTTTTTATGAAAATTATTATAATTATCAAGCCCATCGAATGTGCCTATATAAGCTTATACCAGAGCACTAATTTACGAACAACGTTATATAATAGTTATATTTAAAAATAAATAATTGATTAGGATATAAAGAATTATAAAGGCATCGACTAACAAATGCAGAGAATTTAAATAAAAATACAAAGACAATTAGAGTATGGCTATGTTGCGTGGTGAGAATAACGAGTTTCCCCTCCCACGTATCCTGTCACATTAAAAGAGGATCTCTGTATAATTAGAGGGCCAGTTGTAAAATACAATTCCTGGAATTTTCCTAGTATATTTAGTTACTTGGCCAGTTACCCAGACGAATTAGACTAATAAATCACGATGTAACTCGATGACGCAACTCGAACGCTTCACCTATTTTAATTAATTTAATTAATCTTCTAATTAAACTTTAATATTAATTAATTCATGTTTTGGAAATCGCTCGTTTTGTCTTCGTAAAATAAATGGAACTTTTCACGAAAATACGTGTATTATATTTTCGATAATTCCATATTTCTTTAACAATATGTCTTGTTTTATTTTTAATATTTCTAAAGAATTGATCACAAAAAATTTAATAGAACCGTGCGTTTGAAGTGAATAATAAGACCATTAATTTTGACAATCTTAATAATTAATAAGGCAATAAATTTTAGAGATAAATGAACATTAACGATGGAATATTATTATGGAATTATGATAATTACGAAATGTCTGAGAATCATTACCTTTTGGTTGATACTTCACTATTGGTGCTTTGATTGATAAAAAATAATTATATATTATTTGGATTATTTTTTAACGCATATGTAGGCTTTAATGAGATAATGAGCGAAGCTATGCAGCTAATCTGAATGTAGAAAAATTAAAATATTTAAGTTTTTGAAACGATATTGCTTAGAAATTATTTTTATGACGTTAATTCTTATATTAAGAACATTGAATTAATTTAAAGTTTCATTAATAGAATTTATTGTACAGCTTTAACACTCGACTGCAAATCTTAAGTTAATTTTCTTCTTTATTATCTAATAACAAAAGTCATTATAACATGTTGGATAAAAATCCCTTATTATTAAGGCTATAATTATTATATTAGATTAATAATTTAATGAAGTGTCACACGATTTGTCTTCAATTTGCCTTCAAAACATAAGAGGATTTTCATACTGCTTATGCAGGAAATAATAATTTTTTTTTATTTGTTGCATACTCACTCCACATGTTGTCTCCCGTATCGGCTGCATCGGGACGTCTTCAGTTTAATCACTTTTAAACATCAGATTGCTGCATTATTATGTTACAAATATGTATAACTGCCCTCCTCGCAAACACTCTTAGATAGATTACTTTTCTGTTAATTTTAACAAAACAATATTATGAAAAGTATAATAATGATAAATAATCATAATAATAATAATGTTCTTTTCAAATACCGAAATATTTGTATTAAAAATTCTATCTTGAGCAATAATGAATTATTCGTTGATTCATAAGATATCAATAAATAACGAATCTACAGATACGTGATACACTTATATTAATGTTTATATCTTACATAAATACATAATTATATAAGACTAGTTGAGTTAAATAGTGATATTTAAATTAAATACTTTGCAGTGAAATATTCAAAAGAAAAGAAAATGAAAACAGATCAAATTAAATATTGATATGAATCTAATTTTTATAATAAATTAATTATCAGTATTAACAGAACTGTTGTAAGCTGAATAGTTATTTAAAGAACATCAATCGGTCACGGTCATTGATTCTAATATTATTTTGAAGGCCAAGAAGTGTGAAATTCAAAAGATTTAGAGTAAAGTGAAAATATGGGAAAGATAAAAATATGTAATCACAAATTACAAATATAAATATCATTCTTAATGTACTCATTTCCACTAATTTCAAATTATATATATATATATATATATATATATACACACATATACATAACTTTTTAAATTGTTTATTTATTATTAATTATTGTTTTTAAAAAATTTACATGTCGAAAACTGTCTATTTCAATTATTATTCTCAAACAAAAGAAAAGATAAAATTTTACTTTTTAAGAATTCTATTCAGAATTTATAATTATAAAAGATAATTTTATATATAATTATATATTTTTTTTCATTGTATTTATCGTTAACTATAAAATTTTTATTACCCAATTTTTTTTATTCTATAAGAATAAAATTTTCATCCTTTTCATTATTTTAGGTGATTGACAGTGTTAGCCGATACCATCAATCTTTTCATTCATATCATATAAATTATGTCTAAAAATAGAGACGAAAAATTGAATTTTTACCCGATTGTGTAAATTTAAAGGGTAACTTTTCTTATATTCAAACAATTTTATGATTACTTTAAATTATAATAAATGTATTTGATATTGATAAAACAATCAATATATGGATATATGACATTATTTTTATTTTTGTATTTTAAAGAGAACATATAGAAAATATAATTGTAAAAACCTTTAAATAAATTTTAACTTATTAAAATTTCAAAAAAAAAAAAAAAAAAAAAAATAAAAAAAAAAAATAAAAAAAATTCATTTGCAACAGATTTATATGTATATTTTCAGACGTAAAGATTTAGTGAAATTGTTTATTTGTATTGTATTTAAACATTCGCTAATATTCTGATATAAATCATACGTTGTCTGGTCTGCTTGTTCGTTCATTTTCATAAAATTTTCGTTATCGTTGCTCCACGATAATCTGGGTGCGAATGTGCAAATCTATCAACTTTATTTAAATCATATGAATTCTTTTTTTGTGTTGTTACTTTTAACCGAACGTATTATCTTGATTCCTTCGATCATTATTAATGACATGTACCAGGACAATTTAGCTTATTTATAAATTATTTAATTGCTCTTTTATTCTTTCACATATTCTTTATTGTGTATAATAATGAATTATTATGTAAATTAATATTTAATATTTAATTTTCAAATATAAATCTATTGTCAATGATTTTTATTATAGAAATATAATATATATATATATATATATATATATATATATATATATATATAAAATATATAGTTTAATTTGCATTATCTCTATATACGTACACAATTTGTCTTTTTTTTTTAATACAAATATTTGTGCTTTTTAAATCGAATTTCATTAAAAATGTAAAAAAAACCAATTATGAAAATACTTGAAATGCACCATCCCAATTACTCTCAATTGTTAATAATTTATAAATTACGATAGACATTACGATTTGTTTTCTTGCGAAATTTGTTTAATATAATTATCAATAATTGTTAAGATAATATATTAGTTCTTAAC